TGACCATCTGCCCCCTGGTGGTCAGTGCAGATCATAGCGACCAGTCATTCCGCCGTTCGGTCGATTTGCATATTACCCTTTTATTATATAGGATAGGATGCTACATCCTTGTGGCAAAAACCTTTGAAACAGGATCAGGGAGACGGTGCAGCTGCTGGAGGCCTGTGACTCGGGCGTGGCCCGCGGGGTGGGTTCGCTGCCCAGGCTGCTCCCTCAGGGCCTCGCAGGAGCCTAGCCTGGCATTTGACGGGATCGGGTTTCCTCGTGAGAGGAGAGCAGAGCAGAGCGGAGCAGAGCGGGGTGGTTCTCGGGTCCGGGGAAGCGGCGTGTGCGAGGCTGGCTGACCGCTCCCTCTGCAGGTATGTCCTCTACTCCCTGGACCTTTACAACGACAGCGCCCACTACGCCCTCACCCGGTTCAACAAGCAGTTTCTCTACGACGAAATCGAGGCAGAGGTGAGTTCCCAGGCACCTGGAACAAGCTCTTCCATGTCCTTTGTCTGGGGGTCGGAGGAAGCAAACCTGCCCTCTAACACAATGAGGTTTAAACAGAGCAACGATGTCTGACATAGATATTTGGGGTCAGCCCTCTGTCTGCGCCTCTCTGTGCGGCTGCTCCGTCACAGCAGGAGCTGGAGGGGATGAGCCGGTCCCCCCGGCAGCTCGCCCGGTGACGGCGGACACGTGCATGCGCTGCCTGTGCTACAGACACAGCGATGGCCTCTCGTGTGTCCTCCCAACAAGAGCCTCTGGCAGTTGCCGTAGCAGTTTGCGTCCTTTGCATCCCCGGCCATATTTACTGTGAAACTGGAAGTGCAAACCTTCTGACCACCTTCCCCTGTGCCTCTGGCAACCCCCACTCACTTTTCTGCATTTGAGTGTGTGGTTTTGTTAAGATTACACGCGTGAGACCATACAGTACTTGTCTCTGTCCAGTTTATTTCACTTAGCATAACGCCCTCGACATCCATCCATGTTGCTACAGGGTGTGGCAAAAGTAGGTTTACCGTTGTCACATGGAAAATAATACAATTAACAAAGAATAATAATAAAGCATAAACTCTGCGCACAGAACACTATGATGATGACCAGAGAGAAGGGGTGGGGGCAGGAAGAGCAGGGAAAAGGGGGGTAAATGGTGATGGAAGGAGGCTTGACTTGGGGTGGGGACCACAATACAATAGACAGATGATGTGTTATAGACTATCCGTCTGAAACCTATATAATTTTACTAACAAATGTCACTCCAATAAATTCAATAAATCAATAAATTCTGTGTTTCGTGTATTCACAGCTGTAAACCTACTTTTGCCCCACCCTGAATATATCAAAGGTGTTATCTGATCTCCGTTTAGGGAATTAAAATGTAATATCTGCTTTATTCTTCTTCAGGTGAACCTGTGCTTTGACCAGTTTGTTTACAAGTTGGCTGACCAGATATTTGCATATTACAAGGTGATGGCTGGAAGGTGAGCATGTGTTCTGTGGTTTGGGGAAGGAACCTTGGGTAACTCGATCTGATATTCGCATTAAAATTCAGAGCCTGTGAGCAATGCCCTCCCTTCCTTCCATCCCAGTTTGCTTCTGGACAAACGGTTAAGATCCGAATGCAAGAACCAGGGGGCCACCATCCACCTCCCGCCCTCCAACCGCTACGAGACGCTGCTCAAGCAGAGGCACGTGCAGGTGAGGGCCTTGCCCGCACGGCGCCCCTGGACCGGCGTCTGAAACAGGGAGGTTTCCTTAGCGTTCGCGGGATCTGAATAGGAGTCCGCATGTCAGGTGCCTGTGGGAACTTCCTTATAAAGTGTTGAGAGTTTAAAGGAAACGGTTTCTGTTGGATAGCCTGCAACACGAGGGAAGACTTGCAGCGCTGTGCACCAGGCCCTGCCCGGATTCCTTTTTTTTTTTAAATTATCTTTTTAATGATTTTTAGAGAGAGAAAGGGAGAGGGGGAGAAAGAGAGACACATTGATGTTGGAGCGAAACATGTTTAAATGTTGTGCATTATGTCTTCCTCTTCCAGTTTCCAGAGGGGACACGTGCATATATTGTTTTAGCAGTTCACTCTCTCCACCCTCTCACCCCCAGCTCCTGGGCAGGTCCATAGACCTCAATCGCCTGATCACCCAGCGCGTCTCGGTGGCCGTGTACAAGTCCCTGGAGCTGGCTATCGGACGGTTTGAAAGTGAAGACCTCACCTCCATCGTCGTGAGTGGCCTTTCTTCCCGCAGGCTCGGCCCAGTGTTGGATACAAGTCCCAGGGATTATAGCTGATTTTATCTTCATCCTTATCGATACATGGAACCAATGATACGTTCAGTGTTTTGTCCAGAAATCAAAACATAGGCACTAATTAGCTTGGCCTTCTTTTACCAGAGAATTCTTTTAAAGAGAATTTCTTATAGTAGATAGACAACAGAGGTTCAACATACACATCATACATATCATATGGTCCCTGAAGAAAACCAAAGCGACAGCATGGAAACAACATTTAAAAATTTCTTAATATGTTTTTATTGATGAGAGAGAGAGAGAAACATAGATGTCAGAGAGAAATATTGACCAGCTGCCTCCTGCAACTCCCCACACTGGGAATCGAGCCCACAACCAGGAATCAAACTGTGCGTGACCTCCTAGTTCATAGGTCGGTGCTCAATCACTGAGCCCCGCGGCCAGGCAGGAGTGGATGCCACTGTCTGGGCCCCGTTCTGTCCTCACTCCCGTCCTGTGTTCACGCAGGAGCTGGACGGCCTCTTGGAAATCAACCGCATGACACACCAGCTGCTGAGCAGGTACTTGTCGCTGGACAGCTTCGACGCCATGTTCCGGGAGGCCAATCACAACGTGTCGGCGCCTTATGGGAGGATCACCCTGCACGTCTTCTGGGAGCTCAACTACGACTTCCTGCCCAACTACTGCTACAACGGCTCCACCAACCGGTGAGCACCCCCAGGCGGTCCCGGGGCCCCGCCCAGGGGGTCTGAGCTGCCAGGCCAGGCCCCACCAGGTCCTCGGCCGTGTCCTCGCTGCCCACGGGCCAGGCCCCACCAGGTCCTCGGGCGTGTCCTCGCTGCCCACGGGCCAGGCTCTCCTGGGTTCGGAGGCTGTTTGCTGGGCTCCCTGATGCTCTGGGTTTCGGACTCTGGGCACATTTACCAGCCTTCACAGAACTTGTATCTCGTGCATATTCTAGTTTAGATTTCTTTGAGTTTTTCTCTGATTATTATTTCAGTTAATTAGCAGAAATATTTAACTGATGTTTAATGGGAAAATTATGAATATTTGAAAGTCATTACATTTTCCTTTTCCTTGTTCTTATTTAGATTTGTTCGGACAGTGTTACCATTTTCCCAAGAATTTCAAAGAGACAAACAGCCAAATGCTCAGCCACAGTATTTGCATGGGTCCAAGGTGGGCTTTCTGTGTGTGTGTGATGATCGTTAAGTTCACTGTTTAGCATATTTTGAAGTTTCATTTAAATCAGTTCAGTTACAATGGTTTAACTCTGTCATGCCAGGTATAAAATGTTATTGTTTTATTGATTGGTTGATTTTTAGAAAGTGAGGGAGGGAGAGAGAGAAACATTGGAGTGTCCCTCCGCTGCCCCCGGCACGCCCCTGAGCCTGCAGCCCCGGCCTGGCCCTGACCAGGCCCGGGAGTCGAATAGGCAACCCTTTGGTGCACCGGACAACACCCATTGAGCCTCCCAAGACAGGGCAACACGTAATTGGGCTTTTTGTTTGTTTATCTTTTCGTCCACTGGGTGCACAACTCATCTCACCACAGCTGATTTTTGGGCGGAGCAGGGCTGTATTTTATTGAGTCAAAAAAAAACAAAACTCCAAACATAGTGACTCAGATTACAAAAGATACACCCATAGCCCTGGCTCTGTTGGTTGGGTGTCATCTTGTGCACCGTAAGGTCACTGGTTCAGCTCCAGGCCCAGGCACATGCCAGGGTTGTGTCTCTCCCTCTTTCTTCCTCTCTCTCCAAAAAAAATCAATAAACTATTCGTAAAAAAATAATAATGATAACATGCTCTCTCTCCAAGGAGGTTTGGCTGTGGTAGCGCACTGGCCACCATGGGGCAGCTCCTGCATTGAGCGTCTGCCCCCTGGTGGTCAGTGCGCATCATAGCAACCGGTTGACCCGTCTTTCGGTCACGTAGGCTTTTATAGATATAGATTATTTTAATATGTTTATGTTGATTTCAGTCCTAGCTGGTTTGGCTCAGTGGCTAGCAGTGATGGTGAACCTATGACACGCGTGTCAGAGGCGACACGCGAACTCATTTTTTTGGTTGATTTTTCTTTGTTCAATGGCATTTAAATCTATAAAATAAATATCAAACATATAAATCTTTATTTTACTATGGTTGCAAATATCAAAACATGTCTCTATGTGACACGGCACCAGAGTTAAGTTAGGGTTTTTCAAAATGCTGACACGCCGAGCTCAAAGGTTCGCCATCACTGCTCTAGGCTCTTCCTTGTTTCATTGTTCTAAATGTGTTTTTGCTGCAGTCAACAAATTCTTGCCTTTCTAGCAAAAAAAAAAAAAGAAAAAAAGATACACCCCCTGGAAATAGCACGGGGGGTTAATGGCAGCTTCTCAGGGAGGGCCGGGCACGGCAGGCTTCCTCTTCCGCACGCCCTCTGTGATGTGTGTGCTGTTCCCTTTGAAGTGGTGTCCCCTGTGGGCTGCGCAGCCCTGGGCTCTGTGGTCAGAAGCTCGGGCTGAGATTTGGGCAGGACGTCCTCCTCGAGGGTGCGGAGAGGAGCCTGTTCACAGAATGACACAAAGGGGCCTCTTTAGGCCCTTTCAGCTGAGAGAGAAACAGTGCGTGTCCGTGGGGCCGGCCAGGAGGGTGTTGGGTGGAAGGGAAGCCGGGTCGGCCGAGGTAGGAGCGGCCTGGGTCCGAGGACACGTGGGATTTCGGGGGGAAAGTGAGGCTGCTCCTACCTGCTGTGCGGCCCGCAGCCGGTTATCGCACCGAGGAGCCCGTGGGAAAGAGGAACTGGGCGCAGAGCTGGCTTTCCTTGTCGGGGTCCTCACTTCCTCCTGCCCCGGCGTCTGAGGGGTTGAGGAGGAGCCAGAAGTCTGGCCTTTGAAGGGAGGGCGTTCTGAGACTGACCCCAGATCTGCGCAGCCTGGGGGGGGGGCCATGCCATCTCAAGGGGGAGATTCGTGGGGTTGGTTCTGAGAGAGGTTCCCCACAGCTCGGTTCTGTCAGTCCTGCGGCCCAGAGGCGTCACCTCGCGTGGGGCCACCTTGTGAAGGCGTCGCGAGAGGTCTCATGCGGCCGGCGTCCTGTGTCCGCAGGCTCTGAACCTGGCCTACTCCAGCATTTACGGCAGCTACCGGAACTTCGTGGGGCCCCCGCACTTCCAGGTCATCTGCCGGCTACTCGGCTACCAGGGCATCGCGGTCGTCATGGAGGAGCTGCTGAAGGTCGTCAAGAGCCTGGTACTTTCCCTCGGGTGCACCTCCTCCTCCCCCGCCCCCCCCCGTGAAGGGTCCTGCCCCCACTCCAGCTCCGCGGTCGTCATGGAGGAGCTGCTGAAGGTCGTCAAGAGCCTGGTACTTTCCCTCGGGTGCACCTCCTCCTCCCCCGCCCCCCCCCGTGAAGGGTCCTGCCCCCACTCCAGCTCAGTTCTGACACTGCCCAGTTCCCATCAG